AATGTTACCTGGACAAACCGCATTACATTCTTCGATAAGTTGTTCATCTGGGCGATGTGATGTCACGTCAGGTGACTGGATCGTACACGGCACGCCCTTCTTGTATTGCGCAAATTCCGGAGTAATGGCGTAACACTGACCTGACACGAAAATAAAATGTACGTGACGATGATTTAGAATTACATATTGATGATCCTCACGGATGAGTTCAGTTTCAATCGAGTTTTCACACAAGGCACATCACTTTCATCTTTGTAACGATATTTTAAAGAAACACATTATCTTATTAAACCGATCGGAGTACAAAATCTGTTATGGTCATTCATTCATTCGTGAATCTCATGCAACGTATACAACTTCTGTAAATTTCATTGTTTGTTTTTTCAGCGTGCGAAATTTGAACGTGTGATGCACGTCACAACGTCTGTGACTCTTAATGCGATGACGTTTCAGACCCACAATCACCCTCAGTATTCAATGCACAAAATAGTCGTATGTGTGTGATTCAAAATAAGGCAAGTAAAATATTCATCACAGGAAGTGACGTACCTATTCTGAACCGTTCTCCTTTTTGATCACATTCATTGCATTCACTCCACGGACTCCATAATGTGTACATTGTCGTTGATGTGGATGCTGTGTCGCCTAGCAACAAACAAAACCTGTTAAGTAGTGTGCATACTGATATCTTTGCTACTCTAAAACATAAGCCAATGACAGTGATAATAAATAGCTACATAGTGGGAGTAGACGAGAAAGAAAAATATATTTTCATTTTTTCAATTAACACTGTTAAGTTTCTGTGGTCGTATCGAGAGATTGCGCTCACAAATATATCACGTGGATATTTGTATTAGATTGATTTCAGGATTGGGGTTTGATTATTTCAATAATACGGCTATAGATTTATAATTCAATAAAGCTGTAACTGTGACTATTCCCAAACTGGAATGGTCTAAAAAATAAGCAGAAACACGTGTATATGCTATAGTTACTCAGTATGTGTATTGTGACAACAACCCTGGGTTATACTAGTATGTTGATTACCTGCAATAGTTTCATTTTCAAAAGTTTTTTCTCCAAGACTTGGGAAAACTGCAAAAAATAGTAGCTATTGTAAAAGTGTTGCTCGTTCTGTAGTGCCCAATTGATTGGACCACTCGTGGTATGAGATTGAGCTCATGGTATATGTTCAGTTATATTCATAATGGTCGACAGAGGGCGTAAAAAACCCTAAGCGTGTGCGCCACCATGGTGACGGATGCAATTTGTTGTACAGAATCAAATAATGTTATGTCTTTCACTGAATATACTATGTAATTACAATAAAGTGACTTCATGCGAAAAAAAACGTAATTTAATAATATGTACGCATGAACCATGTAGAAAATATGTCTGAGTGGTGTCTGTGTATTATGCAGAAAACATACAAGAGTAATGCATTATGGGATCGCAGTGTACTAGTAATACTAGTATCTCTCTAGACTTACCTTGGTGAAAATGTGGGCCTTTTACCACTGCAAAGAAAATAATAAGTGCGATTTAAAAACAAGTGAGATTTAATTATACAATATACACAGTTACAATTCATATTCTAAATCATAATGGTACACTGCATGTTTCTAACGACGATAATTGTAATAAACCAGTAGAAATCAATAATGGGACCACTTTTTGGCTCGTCTCTGTTGAGATCAAACAGTCTCAGGCTGCTAACCTTTGCGCCCAGCAATTACTACTGTACTACTAATACTAGTTCCCGTTTTCAAGTTTCTTCCCCCCCCCGCTTTAACAAAGTTAACAATGCACAAAACACGGAATATACACTGTTTTCGTTAAAGTACGTTGTTAAGAACCTTAACGCAAGCAGGCCGTTAACGTTCTCGTTGCTGTCAGTAAGAATAAAATTGATGAATTACCTGTAATGTCATATGAACTGAGATATTTTCCTCCTGCTTTGCAGTAGTATTTACCAGCGTCGTCATGGAGAATTGAACCAATTGTCAGTTGACCCTTGCCAGATATCGAGATACCCTCGCTATTTTCCATTGTAAGTGGCATCTCCCGTGCCTGTGTCTTTGACTGTCGGTACCAACTTTTTTTCTTTCTAGGGGGCGATTTGCTATCGACAGAGAATTTGCACATTCATTACAATCATAGATTTTGATTCTTTCAAAGGCAAGCGATACAATAAAAGCGGCGACAACCTTTTTGGTTAGTTTTTAGTATTTCCACAGTTGCGAAATAAAAGGTTATTTCCTCAGAACTTATTACATATATACTGATATTTTCGTTTTAACTACGAGTTCAGAATAGAGGTGGTGAAAATAGTTATTGGAATATGAGTATGTCTCTTATTCAAGCATGGTAATAAGATGCATTGGACGTTTTTCAGTTCAATGCACTTTCTCCAAGTTTGAGTGTCAATGGAGATGAGAAATTATCAGGAACAAGCGTATCATTATTCACAGTGTCATCACCGGGCATGACATCAAAACTATTAGTTTTGTCGGAAAATATTAAAAGAAGCACCGGAATCTCACACAATCATATTATTCTCGGTGCAACGAAGGCATTCTTTTAATCTTCATAAATATTTGTAAATATCACAATTCAAACTGAAAAAAGGAGGTTTCTATTGGCCGATTGAATAACATTAGAATGTTTTAAAATGACGTTGCTGTGTACTATGTTCTTTGATTGGTTTGTTGCATTCAACTGCCATTGAAATGTATTAATTTTTATAAGGATGAAGGGAATGCCTATGTTGCACCCAGAGTACGTCACGAGGCAAATAAAATATATTTGCACGTTATATTACGAAACTGAAAAAAAAGAATAGAAGTTCATTGCAACCCCCTTTTGGGCTCAAAATAATAGTTTCGACAACAAACATACTAGTCTCTGAGCATAAATATACGTAGTCGGATGGTACCACGCTGCATACTAGATTTGTCATGCCATGGTTCCCCTTGAATGAAAGCCACAGAAATCTACCTTCATTAGCCTTACCATGGCGTACACGGCAGGGCAAGTAATTGTCCCAAGTACGCGGACACAATGTACGTATCAGTCTCCGTGCTACACAGCACATCCATATTGATCTTGAGCGAACTAGGAAGTGGCTTCCTCCTAGATCCAGAATGACGGTATATTTCCGACATCATAGAGTTCGCCACGTTTCTCTTCAAAATAACCCGCACAGTATCCACACTTGGGTCTAGAAGGAGTGATGTCATGTTTGGATGTAACGCTGAAAATGCAACAACAAATATGAGGAACAGATATCTGATTCTATTAAACTTGTCTATATACTCTCGGTGCAATAAATGCGTTATCTTTATAATATTTATAATTTTTTATGAAATTTTAATACAATCAACAAGCACAGTGCGACGTCATTCGTAAATGTTTCAGTGTTATTCAATCAAAACCTCTTCTTTCAATTTGAATTATGAAATTTATGAATATTTACAAAGATGGAGGAAATACTTTAGTTACGCTGAAAGTAAATTACAAAACAACAGTCAATATGCACATTGTTATCTTAACCAGTTCAGTATCGCCAGTAATACTTGCGTACATATGCCAAATAATACTACTCATGAAAGTTTTTTCTTATTAATAGGACATATGATTGTCACATGATTGAAATTTTTAAAAAAGCGGTGGTCGTCACGCTGCGCATGTGCGACATCTGTGTTGATAAAAAAATGATTTTCCCACAATCCAATGCGCTCTTCTAATACAAATCGCAAGTATGAGGTTTGACCTGGGCGCGACTTTCACTAATTACCGCCGGTGACTCCTTCGATACCTTCCTATCACCTAACAAAAATACCTGATTGAAGTTTGGTAACGTCATTTCAATTTGTAAAGTTGCCATCTTTGCTTATAGGAGACCCATATACTATCTCGCGCATGCGTGGCTCGACGACTACCGCCCTTTAATTATCCAACTATTGCAAAAAATACAGGTAATGTATTGTTTTATCATTTGTGTAAGCATGGAGCTCCATGAATGTTGTCAAAATACCATCTAATACGCATGTATTTGTTATTAATGGAAACAGTAGTTATCGTAAAATAAACCGTTGAACGACTTGAAGTAGTCACGGTGCCATGGGCATTTCAAAAAACTATTTCACTATTCTCGGAACCCAAATTTGGATGCAAATCAGTCCAATGTGGAGAAATCAGTAATCTTACTAACTGAGGAATGAGAAAATAAATTTCAAAAACATATTTCATATATTAAGTATATAACTATGTTACTGAAGCGACATAGTTATTACACGCGATTCGTGTATTCGCGATACCCGGGGTGCTGCAGTTAGCGGTCGTGTGCGAACGTCGTTCAAACCTGGTTCAAACACGACATTGCTGCTGAAAAATCGATGTTGAGATGAGATCATCTCTGAAGTAAACGACTAGAGCCACTATGAGCAAAATTATATTCAACTTACCGGTTGTTAATGTTAAATTGAAGATAACAAGTAAATAAATATCGGTCAGTAAGCTCCGCATTTCCATCTTAACGTGTGGCGTGCCCTATTGGATTTAGAACATTGAGAAGAACATTTTTCGAAAATGGAGCAACGGAAATTTTAGAGTGTCAAAAGCTGAGAATTCGGGTTTTTTCCTGGTATTCGATCTTTCAAGCCACCAAAAATTAGAAGTGCCCACTTCTGAATATTGAAAATTAAATCTCCGAAAAGGGGGAATTCATAACAAATAGTGATTTAGCGTGTGGGTTCCATTGTACTGTTTCAATATACCACGTTCTGTGTGTTGTTTTTGTTATTTTCTAGTCAGAGCATATTATAGCGCGACATCATGTGGTAAAAGGTATAGATGATTTTGTCTTTACGAAAGTTGTCATCATTGGTTTAAAAATGCGAGCAGCCCTTTCTAATGCAAATGAGCCGACGACAGAAGTCGGTTATCTTCGACAAATATCGGTATTGTTGCCAAGAGATGTAAACCTTACAAACCAATATGGCGGCCATTTACATGAGTTGAGCTGAAGTTTTGCGTTGTGAAAAATTGTCACTTTTCTCCAGTGTTCAATAGTTCAGTGAATATATGCCATTATTTTGAGCATTTGACAGGTGAGCCTCAGACTTGAATTGTATTTTAATGTCGATCCTTTGCCTAGAAAGGATCGGCGTGCCATGTTTCTGTTGGGATCGTCTGCACGTCACTTCAGCTCAAATGTCGACCGAGCTGCCGTTTGTTGACAAGCGACCGCATCCCCGATTGTGGCCAAAGAGTACTAAAGTGGGGTACATATTCTGTGTGATGAAATACAAGTCTCCAGGCCATTATTTATATGGGAATGACAACCACTATTGATGGTAACTTTGGCTTTCTGCATATTTTCGCGAAGCTGTAAACAAACCGTCCCATGTTACGAGACACTGATCAGGTTTCTACTCGCCAGATCTGTTCCACACAGAGTCTTTGGAATATTTTGAAATTGTATGTTTCATGGTAACATATTAATAGAGAACGTTAATTTTTCAAATAGAGACAGCTTTAAATTCTACAAAATAACGATAAATGTGAATATTTTGCAACGTCGTGTCAAGTACATATTTTCTCTGGGCATATGGGTATGATTTTAACCATGGAGATTAGCTCCATGATTGAACTTATTATTTACCTTGTTCTATATTCGGTTTTATTTATTGGGTATGAGCCTGGTTGCCGAAGTCTATCAGATATATTGACTTCGACAACCAACAACATACCTATATCGTCAATGTCCTGTACATATTTTATTTCATAATATTGATTTTTTTGTTTTTTAATTGGGACTTCGGTTATGATCTATTCCTAGACTGGCAAAGTCGACACTTCTTATTTGTTTTACAAAAAAACATAATTAATTGTTAATTTAGCCTTCTTAACGTGATCGCGAAAACGAGCATGACCGAGAAAGAAATCCCGACTGGACACATCTGCAGGCGACCCCCTGCGTTGGAGTGAAAACCGGAGCGGAATCACTCCAGTGATTACAGTGACTACTTGTATACATTGGACATTTAAATTGACTTGTTTTCAGTAAACATGGATGAAAGTATCGCCGTTGCACTTAAAGTATCCATCTTTGCGATCGAATCGAAAGTCACGTTTACTTTCACACACCCACTCATGAATAATCAATAAAATCATGATCAGTCAAATGCTCGCAGATGCGTCCAGTCGGGATTTCTTTAGCGGTCAGGTTAATTTTAGCGATCACACTAAAAGGAATAAAAGAACAATTAATTATTTCTTTTTGTAAAACAAAAAAGAAGTCCCGACTTTGCCAGTCTAATCCATTCCTAGCTGTGTGCATGTTTTATTTTCATCTCAAGATCTTTTTTTTTTTGATAACTTATCAAATATAAATATCATATTTATACTTGGTTTAAATAAATTATTATTGTTTCCTAGATATAATTATCACAAAATGGCCCAAATTAATGGGCAACGTCCTCGAGTCAGCCCAGGACGAGAGATGAATGACTCAATGAATGACAGTCAGGAATTTGGTCTTCCTGGAGTGGATGCAGACAAATTGAAAAGCCGACTCTACTCCTATGCACCAAGGCAAATTAGCTTCAATACTAAAGCTTTAAGGCCTATAAGGCCTACTCCAGCACAGAGTATTACTAGATCAAAACCTGCTGCACCAAAATTAGAACCACTGGTAAGTACTGTTTTATGATTGTTACTCATATCATTTGTGTTAAAATTAGTAATTGGGTTCTAGTACTAAATATATTTCATGAAAGTTGTATTCTAGTGCATAAAATCTAGTAAAAACAACGTATGTTCAGCATGTCTTAAAGGGTAAACTTCCAATCCCAGGGATTGTACCAAAGAATCATGGGACACTATTGTTTATGTTATTTACAAAATTAATCCATCTTTTTTTATCCATTGTAATTTTAATCCATAAAGTAAATTTGTTGTGAGATTAGCCTTAACCCTTTAACAAAATATACTACACCTTGTCTTTGCACTTCAATTAACTAAAAACTAAAATCAGTTTATATATACCAGTAATGTAACTTGATTTTCTGTATGTTACCTAAATATTTTTAACCAAATGAAGTGCAAAAATTTGCAATCTAACTTTTTTATTGCATATATATCTTCACTTAGATATACAAATGTGTACATTTTGTTTCATTTAAAAAAAAAGAAGACAAAATAGATATGAAGATATACACAACAAAATTGGGAAGCCATATATATTACCGGTACTTTGTTTCTTACTGGTTAAAAGCAAAAAAACTTGGCGATATATACTAAATAGGTGGTCGTTTTAAAGCGAGGGAGTCGTCACATGCACATGCGTCAGATGGCCATAGTGTGTTATTGTTTACAAACAAGTGTTGCATTTTTAGCATGTACTGTTATCATCGCTTGGGACTCAATTCTCACATGTACACAGGTGACGGCCCTCTCACTTTAACTGGCTACTGCATATCAATTTATTGTAATGTACTTCTTCTTTCCAGCCTGGACTTGCAAAATTTCAGGAAAGAAACCAACCAGAATATATTCGTAGAAAAGCTGCTGAGGAGCTAGCATTACAGAGACGTCAAACTTCAGCAGATGAACCTGTAGCTAAAAAGAGGAGATCAACATCAGTTGAACCACTAGAGAGATCTTCAACAATATCACCACTACCCGATTTACCAGAAAGTCTCAAAATAAAACAGGTAAGTTTATAAAGTATATTACCAGTAGTGTTACATCTCAAAAAAAAGTGTAAGTTGTAAAACTATTTTTCATTTTTGGAAGAAAATAAATAAGTTCATATATTGTTCAACTACATTATGTAATCTTTTTGTTTCTTCAAATAGGAATCATTGCAAGTAGCTCTGAGAGCACCCTCTCCTCCAAAAGAACCTAAACCTGCTACACCTCGTGGTAAGATACATGCTACAGGTGCTACTGTGCCTGTACCCACTGCCAAACCAGCTGAAGAGTTCATAGAAGATGGACTGTGTGATGTGGAAGAAATAATCAGATTAGTCAGAGAAAGACCCAAACTAGGATTTATGTACATGACACCAGCAGTACCAAAATCATCTATTCAATATCACCCATATAATTTGAAGTGAGTACATTTTGCTCTTCTGTTTAAGAAGCAAAATTCTAACTAGGCATTGTTGTGGAGTGAAATTCTGTTCACATAATTGGGAAAAAAATGTCAATGTAAAATTCTAGATTTTGTGCAAATTTGGAACAGTGTTGTAATTATGTTCCTGTATTTGTGCATGTGCTTATGTAAGTGACATGTTAGCTTATTTACTTGATTGATGTAAGTTTGGGGTGGTTAAAATCACACCAAAGTTGAACTTTTAGTCTCATATGCGTGCTTTTCATAGCAAAAACATTTTATGCCATTTCCCACTGAAATTCAGAATTTCCCAGAAACTCAAAACAAATTGTTGGAGAACCACCCCACGATTTTTTTTTTAATTTTTGTGCTTTAAGTAAGTTAAACGAAATTAATTTAGCAATTTCATTCCATCTTGCTTTTAAACTCTTGAAATTTTTGTTCTTCCAATACATGAAAAATAATAATAATAATATAATATTTCAGGATTGTAGGTCATGGGAATATCAACCCATTAGATTATTATACTATAAGTATAAAAGGTGTGACACACTTCTTTGCTGAGGAGACAGACTTTACAGAGCTGGACAGGTGGGAACAAGAATATAAATATTACATGCAGTTGGTGCAGATACGTACTTTCTTTCTGTTCCGGAGGTGGAAAGCATTCAATGTGTGGAGGAAAAATGTCTTGTCTAAGAAAATTGCCAACTGTAAAAAGAAGCTACAGGAAAACTTATTCATTGTTAATCCAGTAAGTGTGATACATATGTGATAGTTCATAACTGGAAATTTGAAGATTTCCAGTAAATAATATTTTTATTTAAACAGTTTTTTTTGCTTCCATTACTGTATCGTTTTATTTAATATCTCATCAAGCTGTTGGGAGATGACTGCAACTTAAGTATCTTTATAAAGGGTTCTATTCTATAAAGTCTAATAATAATATTATTTTTTGTTTGAAGCACCTAATTTTTTGTGTTTTTTGCAGTCCTTACGTCCAGCTTTACTGAATGTGCGAGAGATGTGTTACAGGATCAGTGATATGGGTCTGTGTAAGGTAGAAAAAGGACGTACATACTCACTGATTCAATTCAGTGAAGCACAGTTTACACAACTCAGTGAGGTAAGCTACATTTGTTCTCTGAAATTGATTACTGCTTTTGTTGCTGTTTTGTCACAGACACTAAAGCATGTGTATGTAGAAAAAGGGCAATAGGAAAATAGTGCTTTTCTTGGCTTCTAGTTTTCTACATACACATCCTTGCCAAGTGAATTACTATATATATTTATGTGTATAATCAGAAAATACAACCTTTGTTGAGGTTTATAAAAACGTCTACAACTGTCTAATAAAATGTGAATAGTTAGTGTTTATGGTATGTATGATGCTGTGTTAGTTACTGACAAAGTTTATTTTGTTTAGGTCTCTGGAAGACTTGATGAATTCCGTGATCTTGTCAAGGAGGTTGTTCGAAGTGCATGTCGTACCGCATTATTAGAGGCCGGTTTCACACCAGATGACTATTTCTATGACAATGAAAGCCCCATGCCTGAAGGTAATAATTGACATACTTTAATATTATTGTTATGTATGTGTTTGTTCAGCATTTACAATGTACGTCCGGCTCATGTGGTCTGCTGTCTACTCGGTAGTGACAAAATTGGGTATATGTATCCCAATCATCAGGCTTGCAGCTCTCATGCTTAAGAGCATGGCTTCCTGTTGGATATATTCATAAAGCTGTGGATTCTGTGGGATGGGTTCTGGCTTTTGAACATACAAAATCACAATGGGCAGCAGAATGCCACACAATATTCTGTACTCCTCTAAGACCAAAACAAAAATAGATTTTGCTTCTTGTCATCGTACACATCAGTCTGAAATCTGTGCCAAACACATTTTTTTTGCAATTTTGCGTACAGGTAAAGTGTTGATCCAAATAAATCTTTAATTCATGTTTTCGAAAGAACTATATTATAAATATTAAAAATATTATATATTATTATACATCTGTCACCATAACGCCATAAGTTACAGCGTGTCGTAATTTTGTGGTATTTTACAGGGTATTTTCATCCTACCATATTAGGAAATGCAAATTCCAAATATGGAATGATTATGTGCATAAGCGTCCTCTAATAATAAAAACAAACATGGCTGCCACCAGGGTTTGACCGGAATCCGCACAAAGAAGTTTGCTTATTCTGTTCTAAACATTTTGGATTTCGTCATTCTCATGATGTACAATGTATCTTTGGAAGGAAAAGATGTATAAAAATAAGGTTTATTCACTCAGACAGTACGTGATTGCATCGACCTCCGCTGCACGTTGGTCGATACTCCCGCCGTACTGTCTTCATGCATACTTTGAGGTACCCTCGTAATAATCTCATATTATCTTGCTGTTGTGGTATTAAATAATTTGAATGTAATGCAAAAAAAAAAAAGACTGCGCCACCACATAATTTTTCAGTGTTCCTTAGGCTGAAAAGCAAAACTTTTTTTTTTGGCCTAATGGAACCTGTATGTAAATTGGACTTGAGCATATTGACCAAATAAAATTATTCTCTAGACCTTGTGAAAACTGGTATGCAAAAATGCATGGTGCATCAGTTACATATTAATATCATAGATCTTAATTCTGTATAATGTTTGAATAATACTTACTTTATTTTGCATGTAGATGGTGATGGTATACCTCCAGGTACAGCAGGGTCTAGTTATCTTATGCAGAGTAACTATGATATGGATATCTATGGTGAAGCACCAGATAAAATGACATATACTGAACAAGCCAATAAAAGAAGTCACTGCAGAAGACTTACATGGTAAATAACATACTATTATTCAGTCTTCTCATCAGATATGAGACATTTGCCTTGAAGCCTATAATTTTAATTGTTTCGAGGAAATGCAAGTGACATTTTATAAGTGTAGCATGAAAGTTCAATGAAACAATTCTAGGTACAGATTAAGTATCTCTTATTAAGTCATTTTACAGACAATTTGTAAACATGTGTTTGAGGAAACTACCTCCACTGTAAGAGAAAAAGTACTTTATACCACTTGAATGGCTTATTGTCTCATACTTGAACTGATTAGAACATTACTGACTGACATATTTAATTCCTGGACAAAATTCTGATCAGCTCTTGCTAAAAGTGAAAAATAAACCCTTCATATTTGATATTATATTCTCAGCTAAATACTATATTTATATTGTGATTATTTCAGTTTCATCCGATTGTCAGATTACTTGATAGTGAATACTATGCATGTATTAGCTGTCAACTCTGTGTCTACATTGTTGAACTACCTAACTGAACAGCTACAGAATACCCCAACTTTAGCACAGATACAAGGTATAGAGGAAGAGAAAGAGGATGATGAGAATGATGTAGAGGTATGTAAAAATTATCAGGTAGACATACCCAACCCAAAACACCTTTAGAAGACAGAATCTAGAAGCAGATCAAAATGAACATTTCTTCATTGAATGTGTTAGATACCAAACAGAAAAACAAAAATTATTTAATAATATCAATATTCTAAAAGAATTAAAAAGGTGATGTCCATGTATTTGAATATATTATGAGTCCAAGAGAACACATAATACAAGACAAGCTGGTGAATACTCATCTGTTGCATTGGTTGTTGTTGCAAAACTAAAGAAATGGCAGAAATGTGGATTTGTTTTTCATGAGCTAACTAGTTTAATTGTAAAAGGCACACAGCGTATTGATTTTATGCTAACCACTATCATACACTGTCCAACATTTTCAAAACAAACAGGGCAAAGCTTGTTTTAATAATTTATGGGCACACTGTAATATTCTGATATAATAACTGAATGTTGTTTATTTTCTCTCCCAACATTGTGATACAAAGCCATATCTCAAGAAATGGCATAGAACTGAGTTGATGCATGTTTTTGTTTACCTTCACAGGACACCACTACAGACGCTCCTATCACAACTACTACATCTACAATGCTTGGTACGACCACAGTTACTGGCATCACAGAAGATTCGGATCACACACTACCACCTCTCTTCTTAACCAGACTTCAACTGGAACCAAGTCAGCTGCTATTTGATCCAGATGTAGACAACTACCAGGAAGGATTATCAGAAGTAATCAAACGCTTCCAGGATTGTGTTTTAAGTGTTGCTAATCTTGTACCTGATTCCTATTTCCATGCATTCACAAGGTAGGTCCAGTTGATTATTGGAAAAATGGCAATTAGAGTACAATATCATCACTTTAATTTTTTCAGGATACATGGTGAAATGGAGATAAAAAACTACTTTACTTTTAAATGATTAAATGGTTTCCAAGTAAAATAATAGTATTTTTCTAGCATTTTGCAGTAATTGTGCATATCCAATATGTAACAGTACTTTTTTGTTTTGGCAATGAAACATTGTCTTGCCTTCTATATCACAAGATATTGTTAGCACATTAACACATTGTATATGAAAAAGTTTCGGCAATTATTTTCAGGATAATATCAAGTGGTGAAACCCAATCACATGATAATTTATTGCTCTTTTTTACAATGAGAAAATGTTGGTGCTGATTTTGAGGTTTTGATTTGAATTAGGATAGCAACTCAAATATTATAATATCTCAAACACATGTATCACTGGCACCAGTTGCTTTAGTGCATTTGAATATGTGATATCACAATATAATATAATGTAGTAATGATTTAATGTTTTATGTACAGACCGATTATTAATAATAAAGTGGAAGACAAGACCTGTGGTGAAGGTCCTAGTCTAGGC